GAAACTAATCAACCTTCCAGGTATATGCTTAAAGCTTAGACTCTGGCGTCATAATAAAGAAGACGGGCGGAAGGCCTACTCCTAGAGGAGCGGATAGCTCTATCTGCTTATTTGTTAATTTACTTACTTATTTGTTAATTTACTTACTTATTTGTTAATTTACTTACTTATTTGTTAATAAACTTACTTATTTGTTAATAAACTTACTTATTTGTTAATAAACTTACTTATTTGTTAATTAACTTATTTACTAATTAACTTACTTATTTATTAATTTACTTATTTATTTCCTTATTTATTTAACATCAGAAAACGGCTAGAAGCTATGCGAGACGTCCTATGAGGAATTCTGTGCACGTTGTCTTAAATTCTGGGATCTCTACTCAACCCAAATACTATTTGAATTGTGAACAGAGGTGGAAACGAGCGTTTCTTGCGACTGCGCATTCGCTTATGGTTTCTAGAAGTGTTCTCTTTCCCTTGACACTATTTCCACCATTGATCCACTAATCCCATTCATTATCCCAGGAAGAGCACATGAACTTCAATTATTTCACTCATAATAAATGTAATGAAGTTAGACCGGGAACTCATCAGTTCGAGTTTTACGTCAGAAGGTGCACTTTCGACAAAAGTAATTGGCTGCGTTTACCAAAGCTACTAAGAGTCGTTGGTTGCTATGCTCACTCGTCTTCCTCATTTACATCAATAAATTCTAGGTAAGAACAGTTTTTTAATAACGAGTTACAAATCCTGCTAGATCCTTCGTTGACCATCTTTCACATTTATTTTTTTATGTTTGGGATAAGTGTCTCCAAATGAGTTGTCCCCAGCAGTATAATAATTGACTAATGCTTCCCCACATTGTACTTCAAATACGGATTGTAATAACACATGATAAAGAGGGTTTTCAATATTCCCGAATGTGACAAATGTCCGTTTCTAGAGGGAGAGGGAGACACAGTTGATCATGTTGTCTCAGCTTGTCAGATTCTACCGAAGTCTGAATACATGACAAGACTTGATAGGGTCTGTAGTTACTTCTGATCACAAATTTGTTATACCCTCAGAATTACCACACGTCATCGAAGATATTACCAACTCACATCAGAACTGATTTTTGTTGGTCTGTGCGCAATTGTATAACTAACAAATCAATTATAATCGTACGATCGTAGCAAGCAAACAGGATATTGATATCCCCTGTACGCCTGGATGTCGCTTCATTGCTTCGTTCCGTCGAGCCAAACTCTCTTATTAGGTTGAATCTTTTGAACGGAATTAATATAGAAGGCTGTGATTTTCATTACATTTTTAAAAAAGTTGTTTCTTACATGCCATATGTTCTATGACTATTTGTTGGAGAGCTGTATTCCGTTTTCTTATTACCATGACGAGTTAATTGATTTGCTTTTGTATGTAGTAATATTTTCAAAAAAATACATTTCACAATTTTGTCTCAATTTTCCAAAAGATGTAAATTAAGTAGTAATAAATACAAGTATGTATAAGCAAAATGAGAACTGTGCATTTCTTACACAATGATTACAACACAAACACAAAGTTTACAAAAAAGTATACAAATTTTGATTTTTAAATTTTCGGTACATCACAAAACCTATGCGAAAAATAATAGCTTCAAAGAAGATTACATTACATGTAATATATCCACCAAGAATATCCTAAAGGTTTACATCACTATGTTTAATATTTTCGGAGATCATGGATCAAATGTACATGGAAATAAACATGGAAAAATTTTATGATTCACTATAAATACTCGAGTTTGGATATCGAGATCATCCGCATGGGGAGTATACAGAGTGTACTGATAACTATCGGAATTCTGGGACCTGTTCATTAAATTTTATGTAAATATTTGTCCTCAGCCTAAGGTAACTAATCAGTATATAGGGTTTTAATAACATTTTCAATGCAGCCATGTTGTTCCAGTTTTATATTTACTTTGTGGCAGCCAGTGTTTAATTTTCATTGCAGTGCGCGGTCCACAATGCGTAACTATTACATCAGTAATTAGTAAACGGAAGTAGTCGCGTGGCTACATGCAGGAGAACTGGAAGTCAATTGGCAATACTACAAACTGAGCCGCAACAGTTTGAATTTTTAAATGACAGTGATATAGAGTTTTTGTACGTTTGGAAAGCTTCCTATATATTTTTATTATTATTATGATATGCAATTGTGTACGCATATGATTCGGGATCACTAAATACTATGTAAGTGAAGAAAGAGTTTGTCTGTTGACAGCTGTCATCGTAACAGTCACACGTTCTTCGCTTGGACAGCCTTCGTGTGGTGCTCAAACGCCGGTGCCCCCCGCTTACAGCGAATAGATGAGCAGGCGCTCCCTTCCGCACTCCCACATTCACAAAATATCAACTAGTGGGATAACATCAGCACATACTTTCACCCATTATTTCTTACTTCCGTAATTTTCCAAAATTTAGAGAGTTTATTGAAAATGACTCATGTCTTTCTTAAACGCCTTCTTAAACGCCTTCTCAAACGCCTAATGCGAGGAAAATATTTCAAGAAAAAATTTAGAGCTTTGAGAATTTTTGTATAAATTGCAGTAAAATGTTTTAATTTTTAAAGAAAATTAAAAACTACTAATATTTTCAGGATATTAGACAATATTTTCAAGATCTAATTTTTATAACAGATTTCATTGGAAACAAATACACGCATATCATATATATAGCTCTTTTGCAATGTTAAATTTTTGCTATTTTAAAAATTGGAGCAGGCCCCATTTACGTTTTCATCCTTACTTCTCATGAAGAGAAAGATTGTAATTGTGCGCAAGGAAACAACAGATTTTTTATAGAAAAATCTCTTATTGGCGAGCACTGGAAACGCGAAAGTGAATAAATATAAGGCGGGCCTGATGGGCCGAGTCTCGCCACGTAAAACAAGGCAAATTCAAATCAAATCAAATCAATAAATCATGTGTTTACATAGTCAATTACTTTCTCTAACACGTTGTATAGTAGAATCCATGTTTTGTGGGTCATTGATACCGAAACATCGATTGAATGCAAAACGTCTGTCTGTCCGTCAGTCTGGCCAAAGCTAATGTCAAGAGTTCAGCCAATTTTCTCCAAAACTGATAGTCATCGATTAATTTTAAGGAACTCAAGGCTTTCTGAGTTTGAAAAGGATACTTTGATTTATGGGGTAATTTACATGAAACTCCAACAACAGTTTAAAAATTTTCTCAAAAATGGCTCTACACTTTTTATAAAACGTCGTCCTCACATAGCATGAAGGATGTTTAAGAGAGTGTGACGCAGGTCTTATTATCGCTGAGACACTTTACTTTTTCAAAAATCGCAAAAAGGACAACTTTTTGGCGTCTTCCCCAACTACAAAATTGAAAATAGAGAATATTTCTTAATAAAACCTGTTCTTTAAGAACATGAATACGTTTTGTAAGTATGATTAGTTTCCGTTTGATTTTGCGTGAAACTTTTAATGAAAGGGAATTTTTAATTTTTTTAAAACATTTTTTCTCTGAAACTGCTCTAAAGGTTTTCTTTTAATTTTCTGTTTGTATGTATGAAAGGGCAGCAAATAATTGATGATAATAATAAAAATTGATGCAAAACAAAAAATTAAAAATAAAAATTTATTTCTGAAATATGCTATAGAAAAGTTGCTCTTTAAAAATGGCCTGGTTCAATTTCTGGAAAAACTAGTAATTTTCTAGCAATTTGGGCATGAATAAATGCAATCTAAAAAAATCATTTTCTCAAAAAGCCCTTCAACTTGTCTCTTCAGTTTTTCCCCTCAAGGATAGAAGAAGTAACTTCTAAAATAATGGAAGAGGTATCATTTAGATTGCAATCTCTGAATTTTTTAATTAATGCGAGAAAATGTGCTATTGTAGCACGTATATAAATGTACTTAGCTCCATTCCAGAGAAAATTTGAAGATAAAATTTAGAGTTATTTTTAAGAAAATTAATGTTTAAAATCCTAATTTATTTAGAAAAAATGTCCATGCTTTAATTAAAGACCTGACTTCAAAAAAACATTTCGTTCAGAAAATTCCCTCCCTTCAATATAGTAACTGGAGGAAGACACAAAATAAATTAAAGTTCAACTTTTAAAAATTCACGAAACTCTATTAAAGTGAATCCTATTTCATTTTAGGGGCATTTTGCTCTATCGGAAGAAAATATTTAATAAAAAAAATTTGGAGACAGTTTTTAAAAATAATTGAGAATGTTTAGGCTTCTTGTTAAGTACCTTAACAATAAAAATATCCGTTTCAAAACTCGCATGGCCGTAAGTTTGGCTAGATCGATGACGAAATATCAATCTGGAGAAATTCGTTTGAATGGTTTAGTTGTTAGTGTTAACCACAGTTAGACGGTCAAACAGAGGTGTTGCCGTAAACCAAATTTTCGGTAACAATGACCTACAAAACGTGGATTTTCACTACTTTATATATTAGAGGAAACAATTTATTACATATAGAACAAATATTTATCCATTTTTAGATATTATGAGTTTTACTTGTATAAGATAATACGAATTATCTGTGTACAAGTAGTTGTTTTTCCCTTCATTACAATATTCTCATACTATGTAAGTATATGCGAAAAAATAAAGTACAATCCTCTGATCTGACGCTTACATTGATATTATATTCGTATTTAACAATCCCCCAAACATAAATATACGTATTTTTACGATACGACGGAAAATAAACATGTAGGGGGAAACTGTCGTACCTAGGGACACTTTACATGTTTTAAGTTTTTTCTCTTGTTTTGGATGTGAAAACCTTAATGCACATCATTTTCGAATGCTAAACATCTCATCATATTTACGTGTAATAAACATATTTTAAGAACATTCAATACGGTTATTGTTGAGAAAATTTGTTTGCGCACAATGTGACCCTAGGTACATAGCACTGATGTACATGGAGACACAGTAATGTACCTGGGGACAATGTGGGAAAAAGGAAAAAAAAACTATAACTGAATAAATGTGTTCTTTTTTCACGAAGATAATTTTTAACCTACATTATAACCTACACTATTTATAGTGTGATAGATAAAAATAATATTTGCTGCCCTTAATTACAACCACACACAGGTTAGTTCTGGAGCTTTTATTATGTCCTATATAACAACTTTATTCGATATAACATTATTTTGTATACAGAAAGAACTTCAAATTAGATAACTTGCAAAGAAGGCATGGAAAACAAATGTATGCTGCCTTTGAGAACAACCGAATACAAATGGGTCAGTGAGCTAAATTTGTATATCATCCATGTCAACTTCATGTTGCAGAACCTTAATTTTGGATAAACAAATCATTTTTAAACCATTTTTAATTATTATACAATAAAGTTTTCAGATTTTTTTCTATAACTGATCTATTCCTGAACAACGAATGGACTTTACCATCTTTAACAACAATCAAAACTGCTTGTTTCTGCCAGTGACTAAGACCATTTGTTGATTCCTTTACTTCATAGCATGGTCAGATTACATTCTGAATCCAATTGCGTTCAATTTAATTCTATATTTAGGTACCGAGGGGCGTCCCTGAGTACAACTGTCGCTGTCTAGGTATAACAATCTTCAATTGTGAATGAACATGTTACGGTTAATTGTAGGTAACCTGTAGGAAAGAAGTATACACCTTGAATTAACTACATTTTATGCTAGTAAGTGTAGATCTGCTTCAATGCTCATAAAGTAATAGTAGTTATTAAAAAAATGATTAAAGGAAAACGTAGAAATTTTTACTTTTCACTCGTCAAATCAATTAAACTCTCATAAAATCACGGAACTAGCACACACTACAAAGACGTTCATTTGAGTAATCACAAATGGCAATAGCATGGCAGGGAAAATGACAATCCGAAACTTCTCTTAAATACTTGTATAAAACATGCTTTGTTCCTCGAAACATCTGTCCCTAGGTTCTACAGTTTTCCCTACCCAAACATATCAGAGTACGCAAAAAAAGGAAATTGCTCTTTTCAAATTAAATCTCTAAATCATATGTGTCAAAGTATTTCAAATTCGGTTTTTCCTTCTAGTTTGTTTTTATAGAGTTTAATTTAAAATTTATGTGAGAAATAAATAATCGACTTCGTCAAAATTATGGCCTTTCTAATATTTGGTGTACGTGGGTAGAGGTGCTGTTCTATTCCGAGAAATAATAAATAGTGTTGTTACCTTAGTGAGACGTGTTTTATGTGAGCAATAAGTTAATTTCTGTAAGATCACGTAATTTAATTATGTATTATTTTGATGATTAAATTGTTGATAGATTTCTTCAATAATTTGATCCCTTCTAAATCTTCTGTTTTATTTAATCCATTTAAACCTGGATAGAACTAATGCATCTATTTCCCGGTTAACAAACCTCAGAATTTTTCTGCTTCCAAATATTCCACAATACGTGTATTTTATACACCGAAATCAGCTGACGCCAGACAATCTCTGAAAAGTGTACTGCATAATCAATCAGAGAACTCATAGCTAGATTTGAATCCGGAGGCTGGAGGCCATTACCTTTAGCCCATCTGCATTGCTATATCACTGCTTCCCGAATGCAATGAATATTTCATCTCGTTTTAGAGTCAAATATCAATAAATTGACGTTTGAATAAGCGATTGAATAAGCAAAGAAGAAAACGGGAAGTTGTCGAATTATAATCGATACAGCGATGCTCTTCACAAAACTTCAGGCTTTCATTTATTAAGACAGAATGGAAACAATCATGGGGAGTAAGCATTGAAATTGCAGATAAAAATTTTGATATTGCATTTAAATAATTCTGGCCAGGAATACTCAAAGGTGTCAAGTGCAGGTGTCAAGTGCCACTATGTCCAAATTTAGATTTCTATTCAGAAAGATGATTTAAACTTTGGTCAATTTCCTCTCAAAAGTACTATGGTCCTGTCGGTCATCTGCGAGTTCAAACTTATGTCGACAGATGACAGAGGTATTAACTCCAGCTGTCATGACTTCTTGAACGTGTCAACTGACATTATTCTGGCATCAGAAAAAATAGTTAAAAGTTGTCCACATGAGTTCAAACACTTTTTGAATTGGCAGACACTTTAATTTCAACAAACTAAATGAATATTATAAAAGCCTTCGGCTTTTGAGTTTACATGAGAAATCCTGGAAAAGTTTTAATAAAAACCACTTTCAGCGATACCGATCTTTGAAAACAACTCCATATTTTGAAAACAGGAAAGTCAATGCGAGATGTACAGAAAGCTCAAATACCTGTTGAACTAACTTTCTGAACAAAATCATTATACTATGGACTCCACAGGAACAGCAGTGAAAAGTGTTAATGTTTCATAGTGTTTAAATTCAATGAGTGTTTTAGTTAGTATTCGTATTATTATTCTAAAACTTGGTTTAATATTGTTCAAAAATGTTTTTGTGACGGCACTGCTATAAAACGTTACAGAGAAAATCCATGCGAGTTTACACTTATCTTGAATTCAGATTCAAATATTGATGTAAATTATGTTCGCTCAATATTTTTTTCATACGCTTAATACGGTACGAATAGTTTATTTTGTCATAGTGTATGAAAATCAATTACTATACTTAATAAATACATATATTGTTTTTAGCCAAGAAGTAATGTTTTGTCATTTGGTACCTTCGAGAATTTTATTTCCCAATGGTTTTTATTTGAAATAGCTTTGCCTCATCATCCATGGTCGACACTTAAACCACCATAAATAATATGACATTTGCGGCTTCGAAACCAATGAAAATAAATTTGGTGGACACGAAATAACTTACCTTCTCGTTAGGTAAAATCTAATAATCATTAATACTTCAGAAAGAATTTTCACAGTTTTAAACTGCAAAGATATGCTGATGATTTTAGAAGGGTTTGAAAGGCCCATAAAGTGTTGGGAATGAGCAACGTAAACCAATTTTGTGTATTTGGAGTCAATATAACACTATCATTCGTACTAAACAGATGCTTCGTGGTGTCACTAAATAAAACAAACGCGCATGATACGAGGGGAGGCCCTTGGGCAACTTTCTTACAATGGCATGTTGACTTACCTTGTGTCTGAAAATTTGGATTTCTTTGTTCACTAGTGAAAATTCCAACTATGATTTTATTATAATAATTGCCATTTAATAATAGTCACTTTAAAAGTTCAATTTGAAAAAAATGTAAATTGGCTAAAGAGAGAAGGATATTTTGTAGTGGGTTATCAAACTTATCTCAGGCCACCCCCCACCACTTGGACAAATGATTAGAAACACATTCAGTGTATTCGTCAATTGTAAACATAGAAAACAATGTATACATTTACTAACAAACTGAAATTTTACATAAAAAAGAGTCTATATTACCTTACCTTGCAACTATCTTTTGTCGTTTTGCTAAATTAGTGTGGCCCGAAGGACTAGGTTGTATATCCTGTGGCGGTATCTAATCCTTTGAACAATTTTAAAATTTTATGCTTCTGAAAAAAATTAATAAATTTTTGTAAGTGCACTTGTATGATAGTATTTATAAGCAAGTACTATCAATTTACAGAAACATATGATGCCAATTTTTAGCTAGAATATTATTAAATACCAAAAAACATTACTACAGGGAAACATTATTCAGGGCATCAACTGAGGTCACTGCAGTGCTTCTGACCGGGAGGTCCTAGGTTCGCGTCCGGACAGTGGCATGATATTAGACACTAGCTAGATAGTTAGGTCGAATTCAGTCGCTGTTTGTAGGAGCATTCTAGCGGTCGGCTGCTCTGATCGGTAGTTTTCCGTTGTTCCTCCGATCCGATGGTGAGAATTGGTGCTGACCTACCGTCTTCTAGCTGCAAATCGAGTATCTCCCTTCAACAGGACACAGTCCCGGTCGGGACAAGCTCTAGGCTTTCGATTGGTCAAGTGTAGTGCATGTGAATGTAAATGTAAGTAAAGGGTTAGGAGAGAACATGGAAGAGGAAGGAAAGGTCGCGGGCGGTCCGTAGCCCATATGTTAGCGTACTGCTCCGGCATTCACCTTGTGTTGAAAATCGGCCGCTATAAATTTCCCCCAGACATCGGATGAACTCAAACTAGCTATTTTTCTATTGTCGAAAATCCTGCCTCCGTCAGGACTCAAACCTTAGGATTTCCCGCTCCCACGCACTACAGTGACATCAGTTGATGACCTGATACACCTTAGCCGGTACATTATTTTAAGATTAGTTTTAAAGAACAGATTTCATTAAGAAAAAATATTATAACGTTTATTACCAAAATTTCCAATGTTAATTTGTGTTTCAATTTTCAAAAATTCCCGGGCGACCCGCATCTTTTTTTAAGACTATTTGCTTCAACCGAGGAAACTAGTAATGCTACAACTGCACATACTCTTGCACTGCCTCGCAATATTTTCAACTGCTTCGCAATGTTATAATAGTACATGAACCTGCAAAGTTTTCAATCAGCCAAAAAGTTTCTTCACCGACATTTGAACAAGATTCCACCGTGCGCCTTACCTCTACACTGAGCTGCCGCTCCGGTATGAGGGACTCAGGTTGACTTTTAAAAGTCAAAAAGGCTCAACATAAAATATCCAACATGCCGTTTTCGAAAATTCAGAGAGAAACGGAAACGAGACCTTCCTCTTCTTTTAAGCGTCCAGTGTTTTACACGAGAAAATAATGAAGAAAACATCAACCGGTTTTTGAGAAAATGTTATTTTCATAATTTGCATTATTTTAACCAGAAATTGGGCAAAACTACTCATTATTTTTTTCAAAATTGTACATGATATAATGAGCTGATATTTTGCAACGGATTTTGCTTAAGACAAAAGTCTCTCTTCAATTTCGAATTTTCGAAATGTTAACATTGGGCAATTTACAACAATACGGTTAAAAGAATTCTTCGTATGGGATTAGCGCAATATTTTGTTACCGTTATTTCATATTTCAAGATATCATATTCATGAAGAAAAAATGTAAAGAAAATATCTTGAGCGGTTATTTTGAAAATGTCTTTACTGCAAATTTGCATAAATTTCAAGAACAAATTACGTATAACTGTCTGTCATTCTTTCAGTTCGTTTTTCCGGCTTCGTCATCTGTCTGCCCGCACGACCGGCTGTCCGTCCCTCGGTCCATTTCTACGACCGCCTGCCAGTCTATCAGTCCGTCTACAGACCTGGCTGTCATTCCGTGAGACTGTACGTCGGTCGGTCGGTCGGTCGGTCGGTCGGTCG